GGGCCAGCAGCGCCCCCGGGCCCAGGGAGCTGGCTCGACCAGCAGAGTGGGGGCCCACGGCCAGTCTCCTGGCTCAGAGACTGTGCAGGGGAGGTGGCCGCCTGCTCTCGGTCAGTGTGAGAGCCACGCTGCCAGGCGAGGACAGAGCCCCAGGGCCGCCTGTCACGCCTGTCCCACCTGTCACACCCGTCACACCCTGGCTCCTCCGAGTGTGGAGTCGGTTGGCAGGCCCATCCGTCCTTCGGAAGTCTCCTTTCGGGCACAAGAGCGTTAAAGGTGACGTTTCCACGAGCACGTCCCCAACAGAATCGAACCCGCGCTCCGGTGGCCTCGCCTCTGTCACCCTTTGCACCGCTCCACCCAGGCACACCGTCCCCCTTGAGTCCGCCGTCGCCGCCCTCGCCGCCCCTCCAGCCCGGGGGCCGCCCTGCACTGTCTGAAGCCCCCGCAGGGTCAGGGGCCCCTGTGCATTCGCGGGTCTGTCTGCAGCGCCGGCCCCGGGCACCGCACGCCTGCCCCCGCGGGCCCGTCAGCCTGGCCGCGGAGACAAGCTCAGCCAAGGGAAAGTGAGCTCAACAGCCCGCCACGGCCTCCAGCACGGTGACTCGCAGACAGCCCGGCTGTCACAGCGTGTCCCCAGCCTTCCGAGTGAGGGCTGCGGAGCATGGCCACGCAGACCGACTGCAGGCCACACGGTCCCCCCCCGCCGGCTCTGACAGGGTTTCCCTCACCGACCCCCTCGACCTGAGAGACTCAAGAACGTGAACCACGGGTCCAGCTCCAGCCTGTTCAAGCAGCTGGCGGTCATGACTCTGACTTTGAGGGTCACACAGCACACACCTGGAGGCACCCAGAAACCCGTTCCCCAGCAAGAGGGATGGGAAGAAGGATGGGGTGATCCACCCACCAAAGTGACCCCCACACCTGTAGCTACAGGACCGGCTCCTCCTGCCACCGTCCGCCTGTGGCGAGCTCAGCCAGCGTGAGGACAGGCACAGAACATCCCGCTGCCGTTACTTCCATCGTGCCCACAAAAGCAGGACGCCGGCTCGGCCCTTGCCCTCCCCACGCCGGTCCTGTCCCCACGCCACACTCAGGACACAGCCCTCAGAAGTTCACGGACAAGGTTGCCGAGAACGGCCAGCGTGTGCTCGGCAGCTACCAGCGAGTGACACAGGAGCAGAGGCCCGGGCCTGCTCACATTTCCAAAGATCTCGTCACGTCACGCAGGCGCCCGGACCGCGGGTCCCCGCGCAGCAGCTGCAGTCAGAACCCACAGCTAGAACCGACAGCGTGAGTGAGTCCAGGGGGGGGGGCTGCCACCTGGGGGAGGGGCCCCCTCACTACGCCCAGAGCCGGGGACCCCTGCCCTCTCCCCAGACAGACCTGCCCTGCATGGGGGCAGCCCCCCCTCCAGGACGCTTCCAGCACCTCAAACTGCTCCTCAGGCTCAACTCCTCCACTTCCGGAGGAGGAAACATCAAAACACAGCAGAAGTCAGAAGCAGAGAAAATCACGATTTCCTCATTTTGTTTTCCCCGAGACAGCAAGGAACACTCAGCATGCTAGGCCACCCGAGCCTCCCACGCGTTAAAACAAATAAGCCATTAAATGAACAAATCACCACCGTCTACTAAACAAACAACCTAATAGGCAACATTTTTTTAACGGCCAGGAAAAATATAAGCCACTTACACATCTAAAACCTGGGAGATATTCCCAACCAGCACAGACCAACACGGACAGAGTTTAGACGTGTCGGGAGGAAGCAGACCCACTGGCGTGTTTACCCCTGTACGGGACCGTGTGGCGTGTGCGCATGCATGTGCCGAATCCTTCTAAGCCAGAGTGCGAGGAAGCTGCCTGCACTTCGTCTCTGTGTGGGGAGCGGCCTCCACGCCAGCGTTTCGGAACCTGCAGGGGCGTGCGGCCAGCGGTGGACAAGCCATCCCCCCGGCTCAGATGGAGCCTGGTGCTGGGGTTCGCTCAGCGTGTCAGACTTACGGCGCCTTGTCTCCGAGCAGCTGAGACCGAGGCCAATGCGGTCAGCGGACAGCGGAGGGTCAAGCCGAGTCGCGAGAAGCCTGGCCAGGCCTGACTCACGCAGTTCGGCCGTCCGCTCCCCTCCGGCTCGGGGTGCGTGCGGAGGGAGGAGGTCAGGGGCGGCGGGCCAGCGTGGAAGCACCAGAGGTGGAGGGGACGAGGAAGAGAGTGGCTGCCCACCCCCGACAGGGGCACCCGCAAACACGCGTGCCTTGAAACTGCAGAAAGTGGCCTCCGCGCCCACACGTCACCGGGCACCCACAAGATCTCAGCAGCAGAGAGAGAACACCGTCTCACGGGGACCTCCCGGCGACCCGGGGCAGGAGGCCCTTCCCCGGCGCCGCCGCGCCCACCCGCAGGCACAGGAAACCGCGATCCGGGCGGAGTCACAAGCAGGGGCAAGCACTCACCCGCCCCGAGCCTGTCTCCCCACCTGGAAGCACGAGGCCCAGAAAAATCGCCGCTGCCTCTGCCGCCGAGGCAGCGCAATCTAAGGACACAACATCAATTTTCTTTGAAGTGCGCTGGAAAGCCAGGGTTTCAGGCAGCCCGGCTTCAAAGGCCCACGCGCGCTTTCTCTTTGAAGCCGCGGCTGGAGGGACAGGCGGGGGTGCGGGTGCGGGGACCGCCGGTCCGTCCCGGAGAAGAGAAGGTGGTTCCGGCCTGTCAGGGGGGCGGCACCCACAGCCGTAGGGGTGCCAGCACCCAGGAGGTGCCCGGAGCGCCTCCGACGCGCCCCTGGGAGCTGGAGCCGCAACAAGTTCCCCTGGAGCGCCGCGCGCAGAGGACGGGGGTCTAGACCTCGGCGGCCCGGACGGCGCCGTCGGGGCCGGAGTCTGTCCCGGAAGTAAACCGCCTCCCCTCCGAGGACGAGGCGTTGATTGACAGGGCGCTGGGCAGGAAGAACGTCCTCACTGTGAAGGTATCACCCCAGCGCCGGGGGGCGGGGTGGGCGCGGGGGGCGGTACCAAAGGCGTGGCTTGGCCTGTGCACTGTGCTGCAGCATTTCACAACGTCTTAGAAAAAGCAGCATTTTTTAAAACACTCCTACCTGTGTGTGTGTGTGTGCGTGTGGCGGGGGAGGGGGGGAGTCCAAAGAAGAAAACCAGGGAACTGCGCCCGACCCCGCAGGGCCAGGGGGCAGTCAGGGGCACGTGAGCGGGGGCGTGCGAGCAGAGGGCGCACGTAAGCGGGGGCGCGCGCGCGCGCAAGCAGGGGCTCGAGAGCAGGCCGACCCCCCACACAGATGTCCCAGGGCTGGCGATGGCAGCTTCGTGTTCCACAAAGCGCACAAGGTGTCACTGCTGGGATGCGACGTGTCTGCCGCCGCATTTGAATAAAGTGCAAAATGATTTCCATGCAGAGGACGTGGGCCGTCCTTTAAAATACTCGCATGCACATGCACGAAGCATCTCTCCGCGCCCTTCCGTCAGGACGCTCCGACCCCCCAGCCCCAGCTGTTTCAGGGTCTCCTTCTCCTTGTCTGTCCAGAGCCCCCGCGAATGCGACGCTGTGCCGGCGGATCTCCGGAAAACACACACCCGGGCTGCGGCGTCCGCGTGCCCAGGCTGACCGTGAGCGTGCTTTTCACCCTAGAGTGGGCTGTTCCGCATGCGGTCCTGACCCCGCACGGTGTCCTTTACACGAGGTCCTTTTTTTTTTTATCGTCTTGCATTTGCGTCCTCCAAAAATACATCACAGTTCTGCATTCAGAAGAGTATCTTCTACTACAGCATAATCTAATCTTTTCATACCTTCGGCTCGTTGTAAACATGAATGTGTGAAACATGAAGACTATATTCGAAACTCAGGTGGTGATGGGGTTACCCCCAAATGGACATTTCCAAAGGGAATAACATTTGGGGTGAGTGAGCATGGGACAGCATTACCATGTAACCAAAAGGAACTCGTCTGTGTAAGCGAGGGTGTCCCTAGGTGTGTCTGTTCCCAAGACGTGGTTTCTTCAACGTTATCTGAACCCAACGCCCAGAGCCCTGTCCTCCTGGGGCATGACCACCCCCGTGTGACTCACCGACCCCTGACCAGACTTCGGTCCCTGGAAAGTATCGTCGACACAGACAGCTTTCGAATCCCACTCTGGGCACAGCCGCGGCCTTGGCCAAGTTGATGCATAATTTTAACGCCCAGTTTCATTGTCGGAAACTCATTCACGGTTCCCACTGGTAGACCAGTTGTACTCGGCACTTCCCCTGATTGGCTTTTCAGTCAATTCTGCAAACCCAAGTTCGCAGGGCCGGTTTCACAGGTCGCCGCCGATGGCTAACACCCCAGAGTCTCCGCTCTAACCTCCTGAGACCGCCTCCCAGGACCACATCGTCACGGACGACACGGCCCACCTTCTAAGCCCCGCACGCTATTCGCAACGGGCAGCAGATGCCACCGGTGCCGGGAACTTGGCGAAGTCTGAATCCCGTGCGACAGCTGTGCCCCGACACAAACAGCCACTAAAATAAATTCCACTAAAATTTCCCGTGTCCACGGCCACAGTTTAAAACACAGAGCTTATCACGTTACCCCTTTTTCTTAACATGAAAGAAACAAAGCGTAAATGTTTTTTTCCTAAATAAACCTGCTTCAAAATACAGATCGTAAATATTCCCAGCCACACTTACAGGCATTCCTTCCTTATTCTATAAAGAATTGCACATGCCTATGGAAATGTATTAATCCTTCACTTCTTAAGGAGTGTAAAACAATGCTGCCTTTCCCTTCCTTTTGAAATAGACTTTGAAATAAAATAAAACGCGAAAATAATTTTCACAAGGCCTAGGGGTTTCCTCCATGGACGGAAGCTCTTTGTAAACACAGGTGGAGTTGAACGGGAACAATGCGAATGGCCGTGCAGAGAGCATGCGCAGCCTTGCCTGACCCTCCTCGTGTTTCATGCACGTCCACGCCACGAAGACGCCCGAGGCAGGGGCCCCGCGAGCCCGATTTCACACGTGCGTGCAGTTGGTTGACGGCGGGGTGTCCGGCTGACTCCTGGGGTCTCTGGCGCCCCCGAGGGGCGACTCGGCGCGCGCGCGGCAGCGGAACACCTGCTTGTAGGCCGTGCGGAAGTTCTCGGAGAGGAAGGCGTAGATGATGGGGTTCACGGAGGAGTTGCTGTAGGCCAGGCAGTGCGCCGTGACCCTGAACAGGAAGGAGGCCGGCGTCAGCGGGAAGACCCCGAACTCGGCCCACAGGTGGATGACGTGGTGCGGCAGCCAGGAGATCCCGAAGACCACGACCACCACCAGCACCGTCTGCGCCGTCTGGGGGCAGGGAGGGAGACCGTCAGTGCCCGGGGGAGAGCCCAGCCTCGGCGAACGCGCCCGGCAACTTCGCGCCTACTCCCGAGGGGTCAAAGAGAGCCTGGGTCTGCGCTCCGTGCCGACCTTCGGGTCCCACAAGGGCCGCGCTCGGCCTTCTGCCAGCCTGCCACGCCCTCCCGCAGGAGCACTTCTCCCGGGCGTGTAAGTGCGTGCGAGGGACCGGACCTGTGCTCCCAGGCACGGAAACCGGAGGCCTGGGGATGCACTTGAACATGCTCAGCGCTGGGATTATTTCCCTGGCCAGGCAGCTGGATGGAGCGCCTGGGCCCCGCCCCCAGCCCCCGGGCCCCGCCCCCAGCCCCTGGGCGGAGGAGGGATTCGCTCTGACAGCCACTCACTGCCCGAGGCACAACTGGTAAGGGCTCCCAGGCAGCAGAGGACCGTCTGGGGCCAATCCGTTTCTCCATCACTGCAGGAGACACTGGTTCCTGGGTCACCGACCCCAAGGCACCCAGAGGTCATGGAACCTGCAAACAGGAGACATCCCCCGCCCTTCCAGAGACGGCAGCAGCGTCTCTCCACTTCCCAGAACCAGCGACGCCCTCTGGGTATCCGTGTGGCTTCTACTGGGAAGCTTTTACTACGGGCCGGGCCGGTGTGGGGCAGAAGTGGACCCAGCAGCATCTGGGTGAGAGCGCACCGTGCCGGGTGGCCAGGGGAGGGCGCTGTGCCCTGAGCAGGGAACGTGTCCTGTGGAGCGTCTGTCCCTGCGTGTTTGCAGGCCCGTCATAATGCACCTTGCTATGACTCGTGATCCCCCCGGCCTTTGCAGAACCACGAGCGAGACTCTTTTTCTTGGTCTGCCTGTAGCCTTGAACACGCAGCTGGACCGCAATGCCCAGCACATCAGGGAAGAACACGCAGTGGGCACTGACGTAAGCCGTGTCCCTCATCGAAGGCCGTTCTAGAAGAGTCAACTAGAGTGCTCCCAGCTGAGCGTCCGCAAGGCCTTACTGCGGCGTCCAGTTCACAAGCATCTCAGCCCAGCGGGGCTGAAGTTCTGTCGGCGGGGGCACAGACCGCACCCTGCACCCGGCCCTGCACCTGGCCCTGCACCTGGCCGGGCCATCCCCAGGCCGTCCCCAGGTCAGCCCAGTGATGTCGTCTCCAGCAGAGGCATCCGAGCGCGCAGCTGGACGCAGTGCATGGTTCTCTCCGTCCGTCTCCCTGGCACAGAGGCTTCTGGGCCCCCGGGCTGAGAAAACCGGGCAGCCGGGGGAGGAGGCTGGTCCCGGGAGGAAGCCCCCACACGTGGGCAGGACCGTGGCCTCACTGGCTGCTGCTTCCCCCGCCGGCAGGAAGTTGAACATCTGGTCCAAACCGTGCGCACAAACCCCGAGCCGCGGCTCAGGCCGACGGTGCTCCGCTCTGCCCAGGGCGTCTCTGGGCCTCACCCCTGGGGCTCCGCTCCGTCGGCGACGACCACCGGGAAGTAGCTGAGGTCTCAGGGCTTTGAAGATCCACTGATAAAGCCACAACAAAAGCAAACGGTCTGTCCCACTTCAAGTCACAGACAAAGGTGCTCCCTCAGCATTCACAAGCCCGATTCCCCCCCCCACCCCGGCCCAGAAAGACGAGATAAAGCTGCCCCCCTCCACCCCGCTTTTGCTGTGGGGCCTCAGGACGTCCGGAAAGAGTGTCCCTCTGTGGGGAATGGGGATGATTTCTTAAAATTTCTTACAGGACTTTTTTCGTTTCCTATAGTATCGCCAGCCTCGGTCAGAGACGGGCCTGCCCACTGGGCCTGGGCGGTGCTCGGGGGTCTGCACGCCATCTGAAGGAGCACCCCAACCCTCCCCGCGGGCCCCCCTCCTTTGAGCTCCGCCTGCTGAGGGCGTCTGAGAAGCAGCCGTCCCCCCCCGCTCCTGGGGGGTGCTCTTTGTCGAGTCGTCCGAGGAATCCGTCTTTTCCTTCAAAGAGTTTTGCTCAGACCGTGCCTAATGGAACTCGGCTGGGAAGGAAAACGTGACTGAGAGAGGAGAACGGTGAAACCACGCCGTCGTCGCCGTGTCAATGGCAGCCGAGGGGCTGGCTGGGGGACCCGGGAAAGTGTCTGCAAAGGGCGGGCACGGGGGGCGCGACCCTGCCCCTGGCGTGCACCCGCTGGCACCGCAGGCGGGAGAGGAAGAGCCAGGGGCCCACGGGGCGTCCGGAGAGCCTCTGCTCCGCCTCCTCCCGGCGGGGGCCGCCCCGTCTGACGTCCGCCCACCCTGAGGGCCACCAGGACCACCCCGGGCCTCGTCTCCTGTCCGGCCGGCCTGCGGCGGAAAACGGCCCCGCGCGAGCACAGCACCGCAGGCCTCACGGCTCGCCGCTCGCCGCTCCTGCTCTGCAGGGGGACCGAGTCCTGCTTCCTTGTCCGCCCCACACACGAGGGCGACTGTGCAGGGGCCCCTGTGCGGGGGCACACGGCACACACAGGGGGGCCTGGCAGGGGACGGGAGGGCGCTGACCCGCCAGAGCCCACGGAGCCACAGCAAGCACGGACGGGGCACGTGCAGCGGCCATGCTTCCTGGGCCTGGGCGCGCTGGGCCATCTGGTCTCCACCTTCGGGGACGCACCGTGGCGCCGGCTTCCTGCCCTGGCCCTCCCCCTGCCCCCTCCTCGCTCCTCCGGCCCAGGGCCCCCCCTCACCCTGCCCGCACCTCTCCGCTCGCTCCTTCTTACCCACACGCACGCCCTCCGTGCTTTATTTGTTCTATGCAAACAAGGAGGCAATTAAGTCTGTCAAAACAGACCAGACATCTGTTCCGTGGCTACGCAGGGCCGGGGACTGTGAACACAGAACAGGCACTCTGCCTCCCACCTCCTGCCGTGGAAAACCTCTCGGGGGGCGAGACTGGCACCCACGCACTTGGGTGCCACTCGGATGCCACTCGTGTGCAACGTACACACACAGACATGCATATGCATTGCACACACACAAACACACCGCTACACGCACACAGAACCGAACGTCATGGTGGCTGCCCCCTCGCTGATCTCTAGGCCTTTTCACTGTGAAATGACACGGGGCTTCGCTCCTCGTCCCCTGAGAGTCCTGCCCTCCTTCTCCTGCCACGGCGTCCTTCCCAGGGACTGTCACGCTCTCTCCGAAACCTTCTCAAATACAGACACCAAAACCGCCACCTTCGCGTGCAAGGAAGACCCAGCTCCTGTCGGAGAAGCTGTGCGTGCTGTCCGTGCATCCCCGCTCCCGTGCGTCGGCCGGGAGCCGCGCCGTCCTGCTTGCGCGGCGTCACCCGTGTGCCAGTGGGGCCGGCTCCTTCGTTCCCACTCTCGGCGGGGAGCTCTGTGAGGTGCCGTCCGGGGAGGAGTGCAGCAATCCCCTGTGGACTTCAACGCGTCTTTGTCTTGCAGAGGAGGAGCGGGGCTCGGAGGGAACACGACGACGAGATGCATCGGGGGAAACTGGAGCCGTTCCAGCGTCACACGCCTCAGGGGCCCAGGCGGGGGGCCCAGGCGGGGGCACCGGCTCCCGCGCCGGCTCGCCCTCGCCCGCCGCTGTCCAGGCGGCCCGGCGCTGCAGCGAAGGTCTGAGTGGCCGGCGGCTGCCCAGACGCCAGGACAGACGCGGCAGCCCCGGCGTTCTCGCTGCACCTCCCTCTTCCGGCCGGTGCCCGGACTCCGCCTGGGTGTTCTCGCACGCGAGCGGGACCCGTGCTGCATGACGGACGGGAGCCTGCGTGACTCTACCACGCCACTGCCCGGAGACCAGGGAAGTCAGGAAGAGCTGGCCGGGGTTCGCTCGGGCAGAACTTTTAAAAATAAGTATGACTAAAATAGAGCTCCTGCCAATTCTGTGGCATTCGTCATCATAAATATTTAAGAGAAAAAAAAAGTATCTTAAGATGTGATGTCACCCTGGCTGGCGTAGCTCAGTGGATGGAGCGCGGGCTGCGAACCAAAGTGTCGCAGGTTCGATTCCCAGTCAGGGCACATGCCTGGGTTGCAGGCCACGGCCCCCAGCAACCGCACATTGATGTTTCCCTCTCTCTCCCTCTCTCTCCCTCCCTTCCCTCTCTAAAAATAAATAAATAAAATCTTAAAAAAAAAAGATGTGATGTCTAACATTCTGGGGTAAAAACGCATGGTTATCATCCCCTCTCCCCAGATCCCAGTGTCTCATAATCTCATTCTATTCCTAAAATCAGAAGCTACGTGGATGGATGGCGTCTGAGTAAGAGTTGAATTAACCCGGATTGATAAAGTAGTTTTTCCCGCAGAACGCCGAGTGTCACGTAAGCAGGAGGGTGTGAGATGCTCGCGTTCCTCGGAAGTCCTTCGGACTCGCGTGGTGAGAAGGACACCGAGAAAGGGGGAGACGCCCCTCTCAGACCCTCGGGGTCCCCCTCGGCGCAAGCCCGGGGGGAGCAGAGACGAACAGGGCCTCTGCTCTTGGCCCCGAGGGGCGGATTCCAGCGACATTCTCTCCAAAGACAGCTGAGCCAGGGCCCTGGGGGACCACGCCAGGGGTGGGAAACGCACAGTAGGACTACAGTTTGTGCAAACTACGCCCGTGGCAACCCGACCGCACGGTCCCCATCGGCCCAGAGCGCAGCCCTCACGGGCTCGGAACCCAGAAGACGCAGGTGCCCCTGGCCCCCCGGCCCTCTGTGGACACCCGGAGCGGCCACACGGTTCCCCACGGCACCGCAGGGGCTGACTCTCGGTCCCCCGCCCCCGCGTCAGACCTCCCGCCCTCCCCACGTTGAAGGGCGGGGGTGGGGGTCACGAAGCATGCAAACAGAGCCCCAGAGAGCGACACGGGGAACATGTATGGTGAATATTACCTTTTTCTTCGACACTTCGGACTTCTTGGACATGTTCTTCAACTTCTTGTGCAAGTGATTAAGGACCTGAAAAACACAGACGGTTACACTCGGCTTCCACGCGGCCCACAGTCCCTGGTCTCTGCTGCACCGACCACCCCATCCGTGGCGTGCTGAACCAGCAACGCCCTTGTTTACCAAATCATTCAGGCTGAAGTTCAAGTACAGGGATAGTGTGGCGACGACCCAGAAGTGCGGTCCGAGTCAGAGGCCAGGTGCGGCCCCTGGACACGGGGCCTGGGTGCAGAGCGCTCCTGCGTGAGGGGCTCTGGAGTTTGTCCCAAAAGAGCCACCCGGCCCCCGGCCCCACGGGTCCACCTTCCACCTGATCCCCCGGGTTGCTCCATGGTAACCATCGGTGGGTCCTGATACCGGCCGGACGCAGTGTCAAAGCCCAGATGCGCACAAGAGCTGGGGGCCGCCCTGCAGCGCCCCGTCCCACGGGGTGGGGGGGGCTCACGGGCCGACGTCTGCGTTCAGGTGTCCCTCCCACTCTCCCTCCGCCGGCGGCCACGGCCACAAGTCTCCTTAGAGCAGGTGCCCCCCCATCGGGGCTCCTTCCCTCGTTCACTCAAACCGTGCCCTCTGCGCTGAGCTCCGAGGCAGCCCCCCTCGGGGAGCCCAGCCCCTCGAGCCGCAGACCGTGAGCGAGGTTCGACAGCTAAAGCTCCGTGGGGGCGTCTCCGGGGGGGACCGGGGCTCCCTTCTTAGAGAAGCTGTCCTCGCCTCCTCTTGCCAGTGTGAGAGTTGTTTGCGCACAGGGGCTTCCGTCGGCCCGAGGCCGCTGCGCGGACACCAGGCAGGCACGGGACCCACGCCCATCGCCCACCTGCGCGGAAATCTGGGGGGACTCGCCTCGGAGGGACGGAGGGCTTTCCACTGCCCCCCCGGCTGCCGCGGGGGCCGCAGCCAGAGCAGGACCACGCTCCAGCCGCATCCCTGCTCCCCTCGGCCCCACAGCACGGAAATAATTTAATCGGATTAGACTTCTTGCCAAAGCCTGCCCGCGCGCTGGAGGCCGGCCTCTGGGCGATCCGTCACACGTATCGGAAACCGCAGGGTTCACGGGCCGACCGCAGGGGCCTGGCGCTGGCTCAGTGGCCGTCACTGGGTGCGAATCTCCGACACCCTCCTACGGGGGCTGAGCCTCGCCCGGGGCTCAGGACTTCCGCTTGCTCCAGTGGCAGCTGGGGTCGCCCTGAGCACACGGGCGACGGGTCAGGTGACTGCTCTGCCAGCGGAAACGGTGGCCCCAAACCCTGGGTGGAGGGCGGAGGTCAACGGGGAGGAGCTTCTGCAGAAGCAAAGGAGGAGTCTTCCAACAGAAGCAGGACCCGCCTGGGGAGGACGGGCCGGGCCTGGCCCAGCGAGGTTCCCTGGTGGCAGCCTTCCCGGCAGGGGGACACCGGCCACTGAGGACAAGGGACAGGAGGAGAGAGTAAAGGAGAGGCAGCCAAATGAAATCGGAGAGGGACACCAGGAGAGGACGCCGGGACGGAAAAGTCCGGCGTTCTCTGCTTTATAACGCTGCGCGGGGGTCTGTTCACACCCTCCGCAAACCGTGGGACCACGCCAGCCACTTCGAAACCCCCGAGGGGCGTGTTGAGGGGTGCCTGAGAAAACACCCCGTCTGTTCATCCCAGCTGCTTCCCTCTCTGGCCTGTGCACGCTGCAGGCACACGTCAGTGTGTTACAACGTGTCCCAACCCAGGGCAGGTCCGCAGGTCCCACGCGAGAAGAGAGAGCCCGCAGGTGTCAGGGTGGGTCACAGACACATTTCCTCGGAAGGTAATGGCGGTGTCCTGGCGGCCTCTCTCCACTGCCGTACACGCTGAGGAGGGCGTGTGGGAAGCACACACTCAACCCTGAGCCCGGGGCTGTGCGGGAACTTGGGGGGTGGACGGGCCACCTGTGGTAGGCATCCTGAACTTAATGTCCAGGTGGCAAAATCCTTCACTGGGGGGCTGGCACTGGATGGCCGAACTGAAGAAAAGCAGCTTGAAATTACAAATTACTCCATCTACTCAAGCCACGAAATGAACCTGCTTAATTAGACTGACCTCGAAGACATGTTCAGTTATGCTTAAAAGAGAACTATTCTCACATTTTAGAAACCCCCATGATCATGGACTTGCTGAACTTTAAATAACCGTGTTCAAACTCTGCTGTGTGACAGAAACGTCGTCCGGTTTGCCCACGCACCCAGACGACCTACAGACCTCTGGGGAATGAGCAGGTTACGCGTCAGCTCTAATCCGTGGGATTACGAATTAAGAGGCAAGTATCTGGAGTCCCTCCAGTCCTAAGCGTCATGTCCCCAAGGCCCTCGCCAGCTGTCCCCTCCCTCGGAGGACCGGGAGCCCTGCGTGGGCACGGCTCCCGAGCCACCTGCCAGCTCTCCGGTCTGAGCCCCTCGCTGCGTTCCTCCAAAGCCCCTGTCCCCACCAGCAAAGCAGCGATGGCAGCGCCAGCTCCGGGCGGCCGGGCAGAGGGACCCACCCAGGGCTCGCGTCGGACCTCTGTGCGGGGCATCGGCAGAGGACGAGTTGACCAAGCCGGCCTCTCACCCAGGAGCTGAGCTGGCGTTCTTTTCTGCACGCCCCACCCCTCTCGTGCAGCCCACCCTTCCAGGTGCTCCCGGACACCGCGCCGCCACTCCAGACAGACACAGTGTGCACCGATGATGCGGGGGAGGGGAAGCAAACCCCGGGCTTGTGTTAGACGGGGCGGCCGGAACAGCACGTTCTGAGCCCAGCGGGAGAAACTCCTGCCGGACCTCGGACCTCGTCTGGGCGCCGCGCCCGCAGCCTGGGCAGTGCCAGAACACGGAGGCGGCGCGCAGAGGGATGGACACGGAGTGGGCCGTGTTTCCGACGGCAACGGGGCAGCGCCCGGACAGCAGGGTGGGACTCGGTCACAGGGGATGGGGCGTGGACTCCTTTTCACCCGGACGTGATCGAGTTGTGTCCGGTGCAAGACGGCGGATGGGTGTGGGACCTGCAGCACAGCACGGGTGCTGTGTTGTGCACGAAGGGGGTGGTGAGTGTGCAGAGCCGTGTGAAGGGGAAGTGAGAGCAGTGTCCCAGTGAGTGTGACGGTCCCGGGGCCGGGCCCAGGAGCGGAGTCGCACCTGCCACGGGGACCACGCACATCGCTCACACGCCTTCCGGAAAGGCACCCAGAGCCACCCCCGAAGTTCTGCGGCGGCTCCCGTCAAACCCCGGGGGCAGGAGCGCTGCCTCACCGCTCGGTCTGTACGCCTGGGCTTCTGCGTGAAGCACGGTGGGCAGCTCCGTCCCCAGGGGCAGTGGCTTCGTGCAGCCACAGAGCGCGGTCCCCCCCAAGCCTCCCACGCCCCACGGGGAAGGAGCCTCACCAGAATCACCACCGAACGGCGCGTCCCCGCTGAGAGCCGGCAGAGCGGAGCAGACCCGCCACCCCGGCGAGGGAACGCCCCTCCTCCGCCGGCCCCGCAGAGACCGCGCACCCCACCCCCACCCCGACTCCGCAGTCAGGCGCCGCAGGCCGTCCCGGTCTGAGTTGCTAAAACCGCGCTGATTTCCCTCTACCGAGGAGAGAAGCGGGCTGAGCGCCTGGGGAGGGCCTGGGGCGGCAGGCAGCCACCTGAAGGGGACGCGCGCCTCTGGGAAGTGCGCTGCAAACTTTCCCAGTGTCCCCCAAACTCCAGGTAACTTTCTCCGCAAAGCCCAGCCACAAACCCTCGGTGGGGCGCCGGGGGGTGGGGGGAGGGGACGCCCTGCAGGGCACACAGGGACCAGGGTGAAAGCGGTGGTGGGGGCTCGGAGAACCGCCCCCCCGCCGCCCCGCCCCACCCCCCAGCCGCCGCCCGCGCCCCCCGGCGCCCACCTTGGCATAGCAGAAGCAGATGAGCAGCAGCGGCAGCAGGTAGCCGAAGACGAACGTGCACACCACGTAGGCCTTCTTGTGGCGCTGGTCGGGCCACTGCTCCCAGCAGAAGGTCTGGTTGCCGGGGCCCCGGTGGAAGAGGCGTTGGTGGTAGGCCACGGGCGAGGCCATGGCCACAGACAGAGCCCAGATGCAGCCCACGCCCAGCAGCGCGTTGCGGGACACCCGCAGGGAGGCCGAGCGCCGGGAGTGCACGATGGCCACGTAGCGGTCCACGGACATCGCGGCGAGCGTGAAGATGCTGACCAGCATGGAGACGGTGAAGAAGTAGTGGATGAACTTGCAGATGAAGGCACCCAGCACCCAGGTGGGCAGCGCGTACACCGTGGCCTGGAAGGGGATGCAGAAGAGCAGGTAGGCCAGGTCGGCGATGCTCAGGTTGAGAATGAACAGGTTGGTGGTGCTGCGCGGCTTGCCCGGCTTACTGCGCGCCAGCACGGTGATGACCAGGCTGTTGCCCAGCACGCCCAGCGCGAAGATCAGGCTGAAGGCCACCAGCGTGATGAAGTTCTCCACGCCGATGCCCAGGAACGGCGGAGGGTCCGGGGCCGGGGGCTCGGGCCAGCTCGCGTTCCCTTCGCTGAGGTTCCCTGCCGCCAGCTCCATGGCCCTCGGGGGAGCCCGGGGCGCGCCGGTGAGGGCTGCCTGCCGGAGCCGAGGGGCTCCGGGGTCCCAGTCCCGAGCACAGAGCGCGAGGTTCCGAGCCTGAGCCTCCCTGGTGGCCACGCGCCGGGGCGGCTGTGTCCAGGGGCACCGTCTCTCTGCGAGTCTGCCTGAGAGCTGGACCTTCCCAGGCGGAGGCGACGGTCCTGAGAGGGCAGAGGAGCCTGCCCGCGCGCCACTGCCCTCTGCGGGGCCGCGGAGCCGGGGAGGAGGAACCCGCGCGGTGCCGCCTTGGAGACAGAGCCCCTCACTGCGCCTTACCGGCTCGCGATTCCTGCAGCCGAGTCCCTCGCTGCGGCAGCGGCTTCGCGCTCCACCTGTTGCTGGAGCCGCTCCCTTCCCGCGCGCACCCGGGGCTCTGCAGGGCGCGCACGGGGCTCGTCGCGGTTCGTGGAGAGCGCTCCCCGCGCCTCCCAGCCGTCCCGGCTCCCAGCTGTCGCCGGGGTTCCGACTCGTCAACAGGGCGAGCGCGCTCTCTGGGCTTTCCCGGCGGTTGGCAGGGGGTTACCCGGGCCTCTTCCTCGCCACCGAGACCTAGAGAGGACACAGCCCGGCTGAAGCCCGCGCCTCCCGGGTGCCGCCCCTGTCCCCGGAAGTCGCCGCGCGCGGAGACGGGGCCGATCCCAACGGATGGGTCGCCGCCCACCGCCCCCTCGCTGTAATCAGCCACGCGCTCTACAAGGCGCGGACCCGCCGGAGTCCAGCGAAGGCGGCGGCTCCCGCTGCGGCACCGGACCAGCGGCGAGGGCAGCCCCGCCGCTGGGCGCGGGGGGCGGGAGGCCCTGGGTGCGCCGGCCTCCGCACCCGTCAGCGCCCTGCGTCCTTCTGCGAGCCCAGGCCGCCACTGAGAGCGCTCCCTGCCCCGAGAGGAGCCCCAGGAAGTCGGCGATTGGCACCCGATCCCGAGTTCTGTGAAATCCCTAGTCCCCCCTCCCCCTCCCCGCCCCCGGGGAGGGACGAGACAGGACAGAAAAACGGAGCGCGCGTCAGGGTTCTCGTTACGAACAGGCAGAAATAAGGTGGAAGGGGAGAGTGCCGCGTGCGCGTCACGCAGCCCGAGGTCGGGTCTGCCTTCCGCGGCTCGTCTGCGTGACAGACGGAAGCTCTGACTTGAGATGCGGGTGCAGCGGAGGGGCGCGTGTAATGGGACGGCTGCGACGCCAGCAAGGGGCGGGGCTGCTGGAGGCGAGCGCGGCCCGCCAGCGCCAGCGCCAGCGCCGTCCCTGCTTGGAACCTCCGGTTCCCAAACTGGAGACCCAGACGGGCTCGTTCGTCGTCGGTGTTTGCACGGTCGCCTCGCACTCACTCTCAGAGACACGAGCGCGCTTCCTGCGTCCTCCCAGTGACGAGTGTCGCGGTGCACCGGACACAGCGCTGGGGAGGCCGGGCCGCGCGCAGACGCGGCCTCATTTCTGGTTCATCCCACTCCACTGGCTCTACTGCGCCTCACCTCCAGGAGGGTGCAGATGCAGTTCGCGGAACACCTGCTGTGCACCAAGTAGTGTACCTGCGTTCACGGTGTCATCGTGCGGACCCTGAGAGGGAAGGTGCCTACCCAGGAGGGCCCGCAGCCGTCCCGCCCGGGGCCTCTCACCGAACCGCAGTCAGGGACCAGCCTGCACCGACCTGCCGGCCCGCCGTGGGCCGGCTGAGCAGCCCGTGTACTACAGGGCATCCTGTTTCAACCAATAAGACAGCGGCTTTCCCTGTCCAATTAAGGCTGGGCGGCTTATCAGCATTTCCACCAACCAATCGGAGTGGCTCCATTCTCACCAATCAGGACACTGACTTTTGGGCCAATCGAGTTGCAAGGATTTGGAGCCCTAATTTGCATAAGGCTGGGCCAATCAGGGACCAGGGACCAGGGTGGGGCTTCTCTCCGTATAAGTCAGTTCTCCTCTGGCTGGCACGGGGTGTTTTTGTTTTTCGGTGGCAGTTGTGATACTTTGTTTTCTCTCGGAGTTGAGCCTCCGATGGACCGGAGCGAGGTGGAGCAGAGCTGTCTGGCAGGAGAGCCGACCCCGCACAGCTGTGCTGTGTCACCATCCAGCTGGTTGCTCTGCGGCGCGCTTCCTTCTTCACCAGATCGCTGATTGGGGATTCCCGTTGGCGCTGAGTTCCCGCTGACAGCCCGCAGTTGGCGATCTGATGTGCACGGTTCTCTTGCCAGGAACTCACCGGGCACCAGGATCAGGGAGCTGCTCGCAGGGAATTGTTCCAGCCCCACGCGGTTCCCGAGGACGTGCTGGAACCACGCTGGCATCTTCCCGACAAGGACGCCGCGGAAGCTCGCTGAGCTGTCCGGCCCGCCGGAGTGGCTGGGCCTCCCGAGGGGCCGACCGGCCCACGTTTTCGAGGCACCGGGTGGGACAGCTCTGTTGCTCCGAGAGCTGTTTGTAGTAAGATTTGGAAGAGAATGGTTCTTTGATTGTTATGAACTCCTTTCCACACGGGACGTGTACGATGGAATTGTAGCCCATACCCGTGTAGCCGCCCCCCAGCTCAGAGCACTAGGAAAGGATAATAGGATGGTGGCTACTCCTGCACTCCTCCGCCACCCCAGCCTCCACCTGCGGGCAGCCTGTGGGGTCTGTCAGCAATGCCTGCCCGTTTCTGGCATGTGCGTGGCTGCTTAAATAGTAAACTGTGTTTTTCCATTGTTAAATGTCACATGGTGGGTCTCGTGATACTTCTTCCCCCTTGAATGTAACACGCCTGGTACCATGGCAGATGTGCCCACACTCTTTGCTCCTTATGGGCCTGCCAGATAATTCGAGGTCTCCCTGTGCCCTGTGATTTAGAGTTCTCTCTTGGAGACAACGCGTAACTGAATTACTTCAGAATCCAATTTGGCAGCCTCTGATGATTCCAACGGGAGAGTTTAGTGCATTTACATTTATTGTTATTGTTGATCCATGCGAGCTTATTTTTAACATTTCAGGCCGTACTTCCCGTTTCCTATGCCCGGGCTTCTTCCCACCCCTCTCGCTTCACACCGTTGGGGTTTCTCTTTAAGGGGTTTCTTGCGTGTGTCTCCCCTTCCCTGGGGGGAGGAAGGAGCTTGTTACAGCGGCTGGCCCTGACCGAGGCCCACTGGCGCCCTCCTGCGGCAGGAGCGTGTGGGGCGGCTGCTCTCCGGGACGGTGAAGCCCTTCGAGAGCCTCGGGGTTGCACAAAGTTTCAGCTCCGCTCCCCAGCGTAGCGCATCGTCACGCGTGCGCTGCAGGCGCCTCTCCTGGACTTGAGACTCCCAGCCCCTCCCGGGTCGACATGCGGCCCCGTTCCAGACTGCAGCGCTCGCTGCTCCCCGGAGCCGACGCCCGCTTCCGGGCCGGCTCCTCCTCCAGCTCCACGTCCGCGGAGCGCGGGGCTGCCGCCCGGTGGTGCTGAGGGGCCTCTGTGCCCGCCTGTGTGTGTCCTCCGTGCCGTCCGCTCAGACCACGGGCCGCCTCCTCAGGACGCACGTCTGTCCACGTCACGGTCTCTGCGGGGAGGTGGGGCAGCCGGCACACCTGCTCTCCTCTCTGCCCCCGGACCCAGGAGCGGCCGTGCAGGTGCAGCAGAGCAAGCCACTGCCCCTGTGGTCACTACACCTGTCACTACACAGGGACAGTGGCCACTACACCTGCCGAACCCCTGTCCTGGATTCTTTTTTGTTTCTTCTTTTTATTTAAATTGTTGTTACTCTATTGCAGTTGTCACGATTTTCCCCCTTTGTCCTCCTCTGCCCAGCCCAGCCCACCCCCCACTCCCACAGTCAATCCCCACACTGTCGCCCCCGTCTGTGGGTCGTTCATACACGTCCTTTGACCAGTCCCTTCCCCTTCTTCCCTCCATTATCCCCCTCCCCCTGCCTGGTCACTGTCAGTCTGCTCCATGTTTCCATGTCTCTGGTCTATTCTGCTCATTAATTTCACTCCTTAGGTTCCCCTTATAGGTGAGGTCATATGGTGTTTGTGTTTCAGCGCCTGGTTATTTCACTTACATGACACTGTCCAGATCCATCCATGCTGTCATGAAGCGTAGAAATTCCTTCTTTTTTTTTCTGCTGCGTAGTATTCCATTATGTAAATGCACCACAGTTTTTTAATTCACTCACCTCCTGATGGGCACTCGGCCCGCTTCCAGTGCTTGGCAACTGTACACAGTGCCGCTGTGAGCACTGAGGTGCGCAGGTTCTTTCGGGTTGGTTCCTCCTGGCTTTGGAGAGGACACCAGTCCGCTCTGCTCCTGACCCCCCTGCCCACTGCAGCCACCGCAGCCACTGCAGCCACCCCCCCCCCCCTCACCCGCCCAAAACGTCTGCATGGAGAAAAGGTGGGACGTCGCCGGTGCTCTCCTTTCTCAGGTTGGCGGGACAAGTCCCCGCCTCACCTGGGGACATCCTTTCACACGGTCTCTGTCTCTCGGCGACTCCCAACTGCATATGTGGGAACTCAGGGTGAGGGTCTGACCCCCCTCCCGACGCCGAGGTCCGTCGTGGCCAGTGTTCCCCGAGGGTAGTGGCCCCACGTCTCTTGGCCAGGTTTTAATTACATACAGGACGCAGAATAAAAAAGAAACATTTAGAAGAAAATGCATATAAAAGAAAACACTCGAAATAGTGTCTCACTCCGTCTGCTCACCCACCTCAGACTGGAACCGCAGCTACACCTGTTGTCTCTGCGTCTGGAAAGGACACAGAGCGGGGGAGGGAGCGGGGGAGGGAGCTGTAGGAAACCAGCATTAACCAAGTCGGTAATACTGGCGATCATTTTAAAGACTTCCGTGTGGGCCACACCGTGGAAACCACGTACATAACTTTATGGCATTCTATGAAGTTGACGTTGTTTTCTCCGTTTCACGGGCAAACAGCTAAGTCTCAGGAAAGTTACCCTACAGTGTGTACCTTGGAATGCTGGATGGGATTTAACGCAGGGCCGGGTCCACCCACCAAAGCACCC